GATTTCTTTCCTCTGTTCTTTGTTATATAGCTGAATCATTGAAACCTCCCCCTTTACGAGACATGACATATTATTCATTGTCAGTATCGGATCTTATCACGATAAACTTTATCTTTCGTATATAAAAAATTATTATTTGCTTTTGCCAAAAAGCAATTGTTCAATTACATTAATTTCATCGTGAAATTACATTTATTTCGCCTTGTCATTATCCAATTATCAATCTTCTTCTCTGTCTTCATTTTAATCTGTTTTTGTTAAAATGAAACGTCCTTAGTTTTGAAATAAAATAATATTAATTTGATTTTATTATGTTAATGTGGATAACATTTTTGTTAAAACTTTTCCCAACGTCTCTTATTTTAAAAGCTTACAAATTATTAGTTAATAATGATAGATATTTTCACATTAAATTGAAATTTTTTAAATAAAAAGAATTTACGTGTAAAAAAAATGTTTTGATAATATGTCGATAAAAAATATTGTACTATGCAAGCATATTTGTTGACATTCTGTATAAAATGAAACTTCAGCAAAATCGAAATTAGAAAAATTTTTTTTTCTTAACTTTCGATCTTTCGCTACATTTCTTATCTCGTTTATTCTAGTATCTTCTATGTCTTCTATGTATCGACATCACGTTTTTGTCGAATAAACTTGAAGAACCATGATAGGATGTGATCAAATGGTTCTATAGCGAGTTAAGTCGAATAGTGTCAGCTGTGTACTCACGCAAGATCACATATCGGGAATAGATCGGTCTAGATACAGCTTTCAAAGTTCATACTCAAGGAGAAAACAAACAACGCGTTTCTAAGCTAACACTTTAATTAAAATCGATATTTCCAGAGTTTTCACAGTTTTCTCTCTCTCTCTCTCTCTCTCTCTCTCTCTCTCTCTCTCCTCTCCCTCCATCTCGCCTCCTCTCTCGCTCTCTCCCCTTCCTCTTTATTATACCATCTCCCCAACTTACACATATATAGTATTCTATTCGACTTTTAGAAACTTCATTAAATGAAGAACAAATCGCATGATTAATCATTTTTATTGTTTCCGTTCTTAACAAAGTAATCTGACTTGATTTTGGAAATTATTCATTACAATTTAAAACAGTTTAAAAGGTGATATATTATACTATAATATCAAATTATTTTACGTCATTTAGGTATATACGTTGTAATTAAAATTATGTTTACGATTATATAAAACATTATAAAGTGAAAGAGTAATTCATCAGCTTTAAAATCTGTATTTACTCAACTTCAATTTTGCTAAAATATTAAAAAATCGCGCTCATGAGTGCAATAAAAGTCCACCGTTTAATTGTAAGAAATCAGTATCAAACGAAGAAGATTTGAATTGCTTTCATTTGATTGGTTGGAGGTAGAATCAAATTAAAACTTCGTATTGTTGTCTCATCAAGTCTTGATCGTCGCTATCAGCCTTAATTTTCTATTTTCAATTGCTGCATCTGACTCGAAAGAACAGAACGAAAGAAGAGAAGAATTTTTGTATTTTACAAGTGTCGTCACACTTTTCCTTTCTTCTTTTTTTTATGTTTTTTTCTCATTCTGTAGAGTTCTGTTTTCAGATGTCCATCATAGCTAAATAAGCGTTAAAAAAATATGTGAAAGTCGCAAAACGATCTACTTTAAAGTTAAAGGTTAATAATAAAAATGCGGAAACTTATTGATCGATATAAAAAAATGTATGTACCTATACAGCATAGAAGATTGAAGCAATATTGCTGCAATGTTATGATATTACTGATTGCAATGTAACATTGCAATGTACATTGCAGAGATATTACGGAAATGTAAATTAACAATACGCCTGCAAATTGTCAGTAATATGCTTGTAATATTCCAAAAACATTGTCAAACTGTAATTCTTTAATTGTTATTTCAATAATAATAATATAAAAGTATAATAATTTTTTACAATATTTATGTAGTACTTTTTACAATACTTATGTAGTAATTTTTTAGTTTTTAATAGCCGTTTTTATAATATAATAATTAATATAATCCATTTTTATATTCAAATAAAAAATTTATTAATCTATTATTTAACGGCCATTTCATTAGTTAAATTTTATATTTATTTTAAGTATGAAATCATAAGCTTGTATAACTTTGATTTTGGATACAATCAATGTATCATTATCGGATAAGACAACAATCAATTAAGCTGAAAATGATTTATCGAAATATTAATTATGTGATTGATGATGTATTTATGCCAGTGCTTCCAAATAAAAAACGAGAGTCAAGTGGAGGGGATGCGCACGCAGGAATAAACCAGCGTCCGAACTTTATCGATAAATTTTATACCGTCGTTTTTTAATTGATTTCAGTTGATTCGAAGTGGCTCCGAATTGAAAAGAATCATGTAATTAACTTAATCCATGATTAATTTATCAAGCGACTGTAATATGTTAATGTGAATAATATTTGTGGTTTGCTCGGGGCTTACACATACATGCTTTATCCTTGTGAAAAAATTTAACTTTCAGAATTAATACTACATTTATTGGAATATTTTATGGTTTTATCATAAAAAGTGGCTTTTGGAAAGCAATTACACGTATCACTAGAAATGCCATTGGTAAAAAAATTAAAGTTAGTGAGATATATGTATATATATATATATATATATGCAATGTTGTTGGAACTTTTCATTGCAATATTATAAAAAGCAAACATCTAACATTGTTGGAATCATGCAGCAATGATTCAGCAATGTTTTGCAACCACCATGCAATTTATAATATTTCGGTGAAATAATTCTGCAATGTTTCTATAATCTTTCTGTGTTATATGGGTAATTTAATTTTTCATTACTTGCAAAAAATTGTCAAATCTTGCAAGTATGTTATAATCTATTTAAATAGAAAAAATTTTAATTAGAAGAACAAAAAAAATGCAATATATTTTTGAACAAGCAAGAATAGGGTAAAATCGACATCTATAAATATGATGATATGAAATAGCGGGGTTTCTGTTAATCTAACAAGCGCATGTGGTTAAATTGGTTCTATCATGAACTTTTTACTCTTAGAGTGAAACCCATTTAGTAGAAAATTCATTATTAGATCATGCGTGTAGTTATTGCAAGAAAAGATTTTGTGAAATTGAATGTTGTAAAATTTTATTGAGATTAGTTTTTAAATCTTATTTTATTATATAAAAATAATATTAGGTGTTGGAATTAATTCGTAGCGTTTTACAAGTGATGGGAAGTACTTTCATTAATGTATTTTTTAATGCTCATGTGAAATAAATAACATTCTTTCATTAAAAAACGCTACGAATTAATTCCAACACCTAATAATATTTGGTAATAAAGTCTACATGTGGTGGATAAAGTAAGATTATATTGATAAGAAAATACGTTAATTGTTTGTTAATTGTAAAGACTAGATTTACTAATTATAAACCTACAAGGCGTGCAAGTTGTAATATGAGATACTCACAGTATTTCTAATATAAGATCATCTAAACTAAATATTCTAAATAATTCAATATCCCAAAGTGTACTGTCAAACGTATGTTAAAAATGACGACTGTTATTGTTAAAATTCCTCAAACACACACACACACACACACACACACACACACACACACACACATACATTGAAAACATATATAATTATTATGTATAATATTTAAATTGTTTGTTTTTACTTTTATGTAATATAAAAAAAGCATATATAAAAAATTTTACCTTATTTTTTCCTTAATTTCCTATTATAAGATACTTATGTAAGGGAATCCTTAATCTTATCCTTATTTCATATTAAAAATAAGCCTCTTTTTGAATGAGCAAAATCAGCACTTTTGATAGAGAATTTCACATATAACAAAGTATAGCTATTATCAATAGCTATATATCAATTGCTAACCTTTGCGACAAAACTTAAGTATATTTCGCATAAATTTAACATGAAAATAGAAGTTAAGGTTACAAATTAAATAAATTTTTAACAACAAACAAGTTTTTAAAAAAAGACATCCCAAAAAAAGATATAATAGGCGATTTTACCCTATTCTTGTTTTTCTAGATTAACTAAATCGTGCATTGTGAAAAGGGAATATTGTACTATACCTTCATTATTCAAGTCATGTTTATACATTTACCGATTAACAATACTTTTTGAGCTTCAAAATCATTCATTAAATTAATTTTTGCCAATAGGAACTTGTTTTAATCGAATTTGGACTTGAATTGAGACTCTCGTAAACTCTCTCTCTCTCCCTCTCTCTCTCTCTCTCTCTCTCTCTCTCTCTCTCTCTCTCTCTCTCTCTCTCTGTCTGTCTGTCTCTCTTTCTCTGCAGTATCAGCTAACTTACTGAACTTGGATTAAATTGACAGAGTTGAACTGCATTGTAACAAAATCATAATCTATTAACTAAGCGGAAGTTACTGTATTATATCATCAGTATTTTTGAAAATTTTAATAAAACTTCATCTGCAAAATTAAATCGTGTAACACTGTTCAATTACATATAAATTTAATTATATATAAATTAGTTTAATTATATAAATCAACATTTGAAAAAAATTAATCGGTTTTGACATAATTACAATGGATCCTATTTAAACAATCAGCTCTTATTCTTAATATGTTTCGAATTGCAATAAAAATGGAATTCGTTTCGTATAAACATGAGATTTCGACAATGCAGCATAATTTAAATAAATTCCTATAATTTTATTTTTATCGGACAATGAGAACAATTAGTATCAAATATATCATATATACAAGAAACATTTTTCTCAGAATTTGGTGATTTTTCAGTGATTTTCTTTCTGATGCGGATATATTAATTAGGCTTTTCTTAGATATTATTTTAAAAGAAAGTTCGAGATACATAGATACTTGGATATATTGCTAGACGGATAGATAGATACGTATGGATAAATGAAAGTATTGAAAAAGTGATTTCATCTGTTCTAATGTGAATTATAACTAACTTTGTAAAGGGATGTGTACTTACGAGTATTATCGTAAGGTATTCCGTTAAGCTCGTCGAAGCAGGGGATAGTAGCCAAGGTACCGGAAATCGTTCGGGGCCAGCACAGTATGGTGTCCCAGCTCACTTCGCATTCTTGCTGTTCCTGCTTCTGGTTTTCATGTTCTTGTTTACGTTCGAGACACTTGTATTGTTCAGCATTGAAAGACTCGTTCAGTTCATTAATATAGTTCAAAGCATTCAACACGTAATTGTCGCCGACCAGCGGCTTTGAGCCGTTTGTGGGAAACCAGGCCATGTCCGATCACTGCGTTGACCTCTCGTAGCGTTATTCTTCCTATTGAGTCTCTCGATTCGAGAAAACAAATGTATCTAGAAAACAGAAAAAAGAAAAATTTCCTCTAAAATTCTGTAATGTAATACCTTAAAGTTTACTTGAGTTTAAAAGTAAAATTTAGATGCATAATAAAAAGATGACAACTGGCAAAATATTTTTTCAAAAGTTATCTATTCCTATAGAGCTCATGCTTTATAGGAATTGATACTCAGCTGACACTAGTCATTCTCATGAAAAATTCAAACATTTTTATTTCCAATGTCAAATAGATGTATCAATTCTAGAATAATAAAAGAATTTTCACATATCACAGAATATTCACATATCAACGTAATGTTCAGAATAATGTACATATAAACATTTATTAATTGTATGTATCGCGAAAATCACTCACCCACGAGCAGTATACATCTCTGTCGACGGAGATGCATTAACTCGTAAGTAAGAATCATCTGGGAAAGAATATAAAGAGTGCAGCAATTCGCTTGTGAAGTGAGCTCCCAAAGTTGAATGTTTTTGACAATACAATTTTGTTTAAAAATTTATTCAAGGATCACCGGATCTGGAATTTCTGGGAAAATTATAATCTTGCAGAATATATATAAAACTTTCTTCGAATATGTAACGATGTATGGAATCTTTAATTTATTTGAATGTAATTGCTTTTACTTTCTGTAAACATTTTGGAATATTCCGGAATACCTGTAGAATGTTATTTTAGGATTTTGTAAATATTTCATTATTTTAGGAACATTTTGTAAATGTTTCAAAAGTATTTCTTATAGCGTTAACTAGGGAGATACTGTTTTATTATTTGTCATGGATCTTCGGAACCTGACATAGATACATACATATGTGCATGTTGACTTGTACAAAAAAGCTTCCGCATGAAATGCGTCTCGAATGTCATCCGATAATTCTTGTGCAATGTCAATCAAAAATATGTATGTCATGTATATAATTCTATATCTTAAATCTATTTGTCTCACACCTTTCTCTCTCTCTCTCTCTCTCTCTCTCTCTCTCTCTCTCTCTCTCTCTCATCTTAATAGACTATCAATATAAGGCAATCTAAGTTTTTATCGCCCAAATAATTTGATACAAAATATGAATATTAAATTTTTGCCAGTATAATATAAGTATAAACATATTAATTTCATTCTTTAATTTTCAAATTTCGCTAAAATCAATTTCATTTCTAATTTATTAATAGGAAAAGATTTCGTTTGCATACATCTCATTTGCTTGCAAGCACTTTTGCGCACAAACATAAAGTTAAGAAATAAAAATATATTTACAGATCGATTGTCTACAAGCACTGTTCTCTGTTTTAAAAATATAAATCTTATTTATGCGCAAAAGTGCATGTAGGCAATTGAGCTGTAAGTTGGAAATGAGTTATAAGCAAATAATGTAGGCAATCGATTTGTAGACAAAAGGAGCCCTCTTTACTACAATAGTAATAAATTTGAAGGAGATTATGAAGAAATAAAATACATTTCTATTGAATAAATTTACTGGAAATTCGTTGAACAATAAACTAATTAAGTGAAACAAGTGCACCTAATTCTAAACTAAGATACGATTATTGTTTAATTAAGGAGATACTTTTAATTAGGAGGATTACATAGCTCATTAACGTTTCGATATTGTATTATCCTAACTTATCGTCGCGTCGCGTCGATAATTTTGTGATTCTACATTGATTGATTGATATAAATAAATTGATTTATTGGTATAAATACATTAAATACAAGGAATTTTTATCCGCTCACATGTGTTTAATCTTTGAAAGATAAACCGAGAGCAAAAGTATTTTCTTCTTCCCGACATGTTATCACAATTATCTCCATCGCATCGACCATGAAGAGTAAAATTCTTCCGCGAGGAATACACTCCTTGAGAAAGAGATGGTTGCGATATGAGATTCCTGGGACAAATTTTATGAAAATTTTTCAAAATATCTAACAATTTTAAAAATAATTGAAAATAACGACGGTAGCCGTCATATATTTTCTATTTTCATTCATTTAAAGATTATTGAATTGAAGATTATTGTGTTGGGTAGAATATCGCGACTTGACTTCCTCAGCAATTTCTCAATACGCTTTGAAGTACGAGATCCATACTTGGATCGACTGTCAGACGGTTACGATCATCCATCACGAAGCTCTTGGTCCACGAAGATGCCACTTCGAAACTATTAGACGAAGCTCTTGGATACTTGAAATCGATAATATCGATAGTTATAATAGTTTCCCAGGGACGCAAATCGTTGTGATGGAAGCTGCGACAATTCGCATTCTCCCATTATTTGGAAAATACCTCTCACTTGTAGGTTCTTGAACATTCTAATTTTGCAAGAGGACAAAGGTAACACCTACAACGATCGAATATTCCGAGCTGGTTATTCTCGATCTCGATACGCGCGATTGTCGCTTAATACTATTGCCTTTAATACTTGTTATGAATCATCATAATTAGTTGTAAACGTTCACAACGAAATACAATGAAAACACGCAATAATATAATTATGATTTATAATATAACTTATTGTTTGTTTGTCCAAAGTAGTAGAATTTATTCAGTTCTTTTTTTTTACATATGATGACATTGTAAGTATTACACTGTTCACAATCCACTGATGGTTTGCACGAACTGTAATTTCATGAGATGTGTCTTTACACATAGGGACAAACCGATAGAATCAGCGAATTAATATATTGTAAAAAATTTACAAACGAGTTTTAATTTACGAAAGAGCTTTCAGTAAGATCTCGAAAGAATTTTATTTATAAGTATTGACGAATCAATATGTGAAACCAAGTTTCACTCGTCACCAAGTTTACAGTTTTATTTGTTTACCCTTTCTTTATTATCTTTGTTCTTTAATCTTTTCCTGTCATATTATAGAATTACGTAGGAAATATGACAGCCATGTTTAGAAACATACACACAAACATACACATATGCGTTCACTTAAACTGTACATATTTGTAATATTAAATATCTTTCTCGATAAAATCGAATCGATCGCTCTAACTAAATATGTATTTCCATTTTTCCTTTGCTTTTTCGAAAAATATTTAAAAAATATATAAGAAAAAAAAAATAAAAAAGAAAAACATAAAAACAAAAAGAAAAGTTAAACGTTGACAATAATAGCGACATAATATTTATTAAATCATAAATTTGTATTTTGACTCTATTTGCTTTTTCTTTCTTCACTTTAATACCTTCTTAAAGTACGTCGCTTTTACAGAGAAATTACAAAAAATCGATCGTTTTTTTAATTTCTGAATGTAAATTATATAAATTTATCTGTGCAAATGTAGTTTGAAGTACATATTTGCTTTCGAAGAAACTATTTGCAATAAATCTTAAAAAAAAAGTCATTTTTAAATAATGTTCGCGATACAACAAAACGATGCAACCTACTCTGTCGTGCCTCTCTTGCTTTCATAATCTTCGCGAAGGACGCGTTACTTATTGTTAGTACTCTGAGAATGGGTTTCGGATCATTAATTTAAAAGAGCGATTATTTATCACGGTATACTCAACTGAGAGATTTATCGGCAATTTAACCATTTCGATATTGTTAACCCTCAAGCTGGTAAATGCGCATGAGAGGCAAATTCTCTCATTACCCAGTCAAGAGCAAAGAGAAACAGATTATAGCGCAAACACGAGAGTATTGTGAATCATTTACAAAGATGATCGCTTCTGATATCATTATATTACACTAAATATGTCAGACCAATGATTGCTAAAAAATTAATCTTTTATAATTAGCGTTTCAAAGAGATAATTAATCGACGTAGTTGTATTACGCGTATTATGATATGAACGCAGTATAATGTTGCTATACTACGGCATAGATTTTATTGTGTAAATTATACTTTATGCTACAGAATCTCACCGGCTATTTTTTGCTAGGATAAATATTACGTTATATTTTTTACCACACCCGCACAATACGCCATGTATTTTATATTGTACATTTAAGCATAATTCTTTCCTGGAAGCGAATGTTTCTAATATTGTATCGTCGTCCATCTGTCAACTAAAACGATAACAACTACCAGTCGCTAATATTTCACACGTGTTCCGGAACGAACAACCACTACTGATCACCTTTGTTGCTTGCAGTTGCTTAGAGCGTCAACACCAACAGCACCGCGACGCGTTGAGAAGTCGGTTTTGCAGTGACTGCGTCCGCGCAGTATAATAGTCAGATTAGTTGGCACAATTATAATTTTTATAATACACTAATCTTGCGTTGTATTCACTTATTTTTCTTCAATTTATATTTTTAAATAGGTCTTTATTTTTAATCGCTTGAAAAGCCGAAAGTTGTAGGATCTTTGATAGTTTTTTAAAGATCGACTTGATGAAATTCAAAGAACTAGACAGCGTCTAGTTTAAATAGATGCACATTTAGTGAGGGATATGTTTTCTATATGTTGTGTAGTCTAATTCAGTTCAAAATACTATTTATAAATATTAAATCTGACATAATTATATCATTTAATATTTTTATAGTTTTACAAATCCTTATTATAGATATATTACAATGTTAATGATGAATGAGATAAATTAGAGGGATATACATACATGTAAAGTATGCGATGTATAAGAATCTTGTAGAAGACTGAATTTCGTGAGTATATAATTTCTTTTTAATATTTTTTGCAAAGTATTAATATACATAAAATATAATTGTACCAATTCCAGCAAAGAATGTTACTTGCGCGGTCGTTCTTGTTCTGATATGGATTTTCTAGGCCCGCGCAGCCCTAGAGCCGATGATGACGACTGGGCTACTACAGGCTACAGGATCGAGTACAGGACAAGGAATGAGTATATATGGATGAGCATGCGCCATTCTGTTCGCCGCGGATTCTCTCCATCGCATCGTATACCTTCGCGCGGAGGATTCCAATGAGAAATGATTATGGAATCGACATCGAATCGACGTCGGATCGATGTTGATTTGATCATTTTAATATCACTTCTCATTGGGATACGCATCATATGCGCGGCATGATCATTAACAATGGGGGTTGCCAGGGTTGTAGTATTGCTATTACAGAATCGTCACCTGCCTTATCGGGAGGCGCGCAGTAGATAAAAAAGATTTCTATTTAAAAGTGTCCCGTCAAAATCCCGTCTGCAATTTTATCGGAAATTCGCAACTTAATTGTTTATACTTTTTATACGTAGAATCTGCTCCTTCCTAATAATATCAGAATAATCAATAATAGAGAACAAAATAGTTATAACAGAATAACAAAATAGTTTACAAAGTATAAAGGTATTAAAAAAAAAATAAATATGAAAAGAATAACAAAATAGTTTACAAAGTATAAAGATATAAAAAAAAAATAAAATAAATATGAAAAGAAAGCATTGAGAAAAAAGAAAAACGTAAAAGAATTGCTATCTTTTGATAAGAATTTAGAATCATTATTATTCAATCGCAACATAATAATTTCTATTCAAATAGAAAACTCCAAACTCAAATGTTACATATTAATTTATATGTCTCGAGAAATACAGTATTCGATGAAATTTTGATAGAAAAATATATCCTTAAAATATATCTATAGATAGGCTCATTTTTTTATGAATGATATATATATAGCAGTCAAAACGTCTTTCTTTCTAATTTACGTATATACTTATTGTTAGACATAAAAAGGCATACGAAAGGAAGAAAGAATAAATATTATAAACAGTACGAAAGAAGTCTAGTTTCATTTGCTTCCATTTTCTATTTGAGATTATAATACTACAATTTTACTTTAATGATCAAATAAAATAATAAGTAAACGTAGAACGAAATTTATAATTTATGATGTATATATATATATATATATATATATATATATATATATATTTAATATATCTACACATTACACTTCTTCTTCTTCTTTTTACGTTAGGCTTCTGATCTGTGTTACACCTCTCTCATATGTTTGATGCGTTGATTATTCAATTGCCACGAGCATACAATTTTAATGCCGGTTCCGAACGATGGATTTTTCGAGAGGTGATTCCGTGGGCAAGGATATTCTCGGGAAGTTGCCAGCCTTTTCCGAGAGGAGACACGAGCGTAAATATTTTGGTTCCTACTAGGATCGAACCCGGGACCTTTGGCATGATAAATCAGTGCGCTATTTGCCATGTCAAGCTCGTGTTCTCTTATATTATATGTATTTTTTAAATAAAATTCATATTTTCCTCAAGATTTTTTCATACATTTTTTCCTTTTAAATAACAACATTTTAATCAAAATATATTTATTTATTTGCATATTGAAATATCCAATTTTGTCGATAAAAGTGAAAAATGTCTCTCATAACTAATGTATACGAAGATTTAATAAATATTCTGTTAATAAAACAAAATGAAACACATTAACAATACAATAACAAAATGAGACAGAAAATTATTCAGGACAAAAAATATTTATTTTGACTGTTCAAATTTATTTGAAATATTTGGTTAAAAAAATGAAAATTATTTCTCTATTAATGTTGTATGTGTAAAATATAATACAATAATCGAGATAGGATGATTAAAAATAGATTTGCACATTTTGTGATATATCTCCTTCAAGATGAAAATTAAAACAATAGTTTAATAGAATATTTCACTAGATATCTTAAAATTTTCAAACTGGAATAAAATATTTTATGTAATTGTGTTTTACTGTAATTTTATTTAATTATACTAAAAACTGCATGTGTTTCTCTCTCTCTCTCTCTCTCTCTCTCTCTCTCTCTCTCTCTCTCTCTTTCTCTCTTCCTCCCGTTTTATTAACTTAAAATCACTTTGTTTTATCTACTTTTGTCTCTGAATATTCAACGCATGTAACAATGAGTTATTTGGTGGGGCTTTCATACAAATACAGTCTACAGATGATTCTTAAACTCAAAGTAATTCCACCGAATTAATAATGCAAAAACGAAAGTCAGCAACTAACTATAGTCAACGATTATTTGGATATTGTTTTGTTGTGTTTGTTTTAAATTAAAACGTCAAAGATTCGATCGAGAATATCAAACTAAAATATTTAAAAAAATATCTTCGCACTTAGAATTTAACAGAAGGAGAAAAAGATAAGATAATTTGAAAATTTTTATCATTTTCTTTCAATTCGTAAAATTGGTTTCAATTAAGAAATAGAGCATCTGCGTCATCTACATCCTGTATAAGAAATTTTTACAAAAAACAAAAAATCGACAATACTAATAATTAAGATGACATTTGATATGATACGTACATATGTTTATATACATTTGAAATTATGAGAATTTGTTACATAACATTCATGAAACATAACATTCGTTGTGTATACTTTCGTCAGTCACTTGCATAAAAATTTTGCCGAACAGAACTGTCAATCCTTTGTCAGATTCGTGTACAATTGTCGATATCTGTCCATTGACTTGATCGAGCCCACGGCATAATAGTCTAAAATATTCATCTCCTGCGAAATGTCATGCATATACATAAATGCGAACGAAATAACGTTTTGACTTATGCCTGGCTTATTCGGTCGCACAATTTCGAAAATTATATGCATCTATTAAAATACTGCTATGTATATTATAAGAATGTATTAAGAATATATATATTAAATAATAGGGAAAAAAGTTTTTATGCAACAATACTGCAACTCTTATGGTTGAAAAGTGAAAAATTTTTTATCTATAAAATAATATTAAAATACAATCATACGTAATTATCATGCTGATTAAAATAAAAACTATAGCAGGTATTCATTGTCAATTCTTATTTCAAAACCGTCTGTAACATTTTAAGGTGCTAATGTGGCCCTCTGATTGGTTCGTGACAGAACTTAAGACTGTCTTGAATATAAGAATTGACTATAAATACTGGCCTATATTTTATAAACTAATTATAATGAATTAGGAAAGAGAACATTGTGTACCTATACACACGTGTGTGTGTGTGTATGTGTGTGCGTGTAATATATATATTATAAAGAATAAAAGAGAAAAGATAAAAGAGAAAAGATAAATGAGAAAATGGCAGATCCTTGAGAAGGCACTGATAAAATTGCAGATGATTGATCGACCTTTAATTTACATATTTCACTAAAATATTATATTCTTTCCTTTAATTGCGAAGAATTGAAGATAGTGAGCACCTAGAGAGACTTGAAAAAGTTTTCTCCTTTCAACTCTCTAATGCATAGCTAATCCCGTGAGAAATGATAATCAATTTAACGTCGAAACAATGCCGAATCGACGTCGAAATCATTAATTCGACGTCAAATCGTGGTTGAAATTATTAATTCGACGTCGAATCGACATTGATTTGATGAGTCATTTCTCGCTGAGAATAGGCAATCAATTATCATTTTTAATATTAATGAAAAGTAATGAAAGAGTAAGTAAGTATAAGTTTTAATAATAATAAATTTCACGATTTGTTAGGACTGTATAACGCGGTGAATACACAATAACTAAGAAATAATGCCTATACCGGTTGAAGCTGGATCTTGAGTGCTATAAATAATTTAATGTGAATTTATATACCACATTTGTAATTTCTTAAATTGCGCGCCGAATTGATTTTAAGTTTTAATAACTATATCTTATGCATAGATGAGATGAATCAGTTAATGTAAATATATAAACGAAACTGATATAGTGTATTTGCATATTGCAAATTGCATAATTTTTTTGAATAGTTTTTGAATAGCAGTTACCTGTGTCTTCTTTGAAGATTGATTCATTTCATTACTGCATGTGCATGAAAGTATTACAATATGTACAATTATTAAAAAACAAATAGTTTACAAGATATTTTATACTTTATTCTTGCATTTGACACCAAATATAAAATATCACATAAATTATTTTAATTTTTTGGTATCTTTGCTTTAAGAGCTTCATATGCATAATAATTATATGATGAATCATTTTAGGTAAAACAAATTATACTATTCTATTTAAAAAAATGACAATGTCACATCTCCATATGACTCCATGATCACGAAGAATCGATTTTCTTGAAAATTGATTTTACTATTATTTATTTTTCTTTAGATCATACAACTTTTGCTTGAAACATTATTTTGTAAAAGACTTAGAAAACAATTCTAACAAGAATATTAAAGTGACCCACCCTTTGTATTTTTAATTAAATTAAGAAGAAAGAAGGATGTGCAGATAGTATACTAAAGTTAGAAAAATGTTTAATAAATATAAGTTGAAAAATTGATCTTGTTAGATAAACTAGATTTTTCATTTTTTTTATTTGTGTTACAATCTCGATTGTTGATGACTTTCAAAAACCTTGTTAAATTAAGCCTGCATTGTTTCTAAAGTAAATTTTTTCCTTACCTTTCGAAAGTTTTTCGATGCGCTCTCTGTATTTGATTCACTGAATAGGCTAAAAGCACATTTTATCGCTAGATTTAGCCGCGATGATTTATGAAAGAAAAAATTCACACATTTCGCTAATTACGATATCATGGAAAATGGTTGAAAATTGATAAAAAAGAAGTTGCTCCATTCGCGACATGGCACATGCAACGCAGACTGTGAAGAACTGCAAATTTCAAACGGAAAATTGGCTTGGTCGATTGGTCAGCAATTGGTCGATTGATGCGCGCTTTAACACTCAATCAACCAATCAGGTCTCCCTATCTCCGCATGTTATGCCCGTTACATATACATATATGTGTCAAGTATCGCAAATAGATATAATCTTTTCCGTTCTATCGAATCTATTGTATTATTTCTTAATTCCTTTTCCTTCAACACAATATTTGCCTTTTTTATAAATATCGATTAATCATTCATTTTCCATTCCATTCTTTTCTTTTCTCTCATCACGTTTGAAATTTTGGCTAAAGATTATTCTTTAAAAGTTATTTCTATTAAATAAGTGCAGTTGAAAAAGAAAAGTATATAATATATTTGTAATAGCTTCTTGAAAAATATCATATGAAAATATATGAAAATATATACTATAATAAATATATAAAATATATACGTTACGTTTATATTATATTGCAATAGATTTCCTCTAATATTTTCGTACGCAATATTTTTCAGGAATAACCTGAGAGAGACTGTGCATAACAAGTTAAGCAAAATTCATAGAGAGAATAATTACCAATCAATAATCAAATTTCAGCCATTTCATATATATGTATTGTGTATATAATAATAATACACACGTATATAATATATTAATTAAATGAGGTCATTGAAAATTGAATAATCATAAAATAATTAATTTTATTAAATAATATCAGAATATAAATTGAAATAAAAGATGAGATAAACCTTTTGTCAAGATTTCATTTTTTGATAAAACTTTCACAAATTTAATAACAAATTTAATAAACTTTTTCCTATCTTTCTAACAATATAAGTAGAATAATTGAGCATAACTCAAACTGTGTGAGCATACTGTGAAAAAGCAAGAACACAATAAGGATATCTGAAAGTGTATAGTGTGTTTATTCATCAATAAATAAAACGCGATCTGGACAAGAATTGAAATCGTTAGTGATTTTTGTATGTATAATGCAAAAAGTTTAAATAAGATTAAATTTTGACTTAATTTATGTGGTATGAGAATAAATTTCGCGTCTCTTTTTTCACAAAGATGAAAATACAATTAAATGTAAGGATCAAAACTCACTACAAAATTTATTCTTCTAATGACAAAGTATAATGTTATCGATATATCATACCGGTTTTACGATTCTCCTGCTAAGAAGTCACTAATTTAATACGCACGTTTTATCTTGTAACGCACAACTCGTTATAGTACTATGTGCTGTTTACGAGCGACATATTTTATCACGGTCGCCGCGTCAGAGTTATCTCTGCAGTTAAATATTAACTATACTAATAAAGCACTGTCTTATATGTGTAAGTCTAATATATGTTTCTCTCATCGGAGAGTGCTCCTTTTAAGGCCAACTTATTGTAATAATCTTTCTGTTTGTATAGATTCACTATAATTATATATTTATAAGCATAATTTTTCACAAAGATATAAGAAATATATTTCATAACGATAAGGACCTTTATTATCGTACAAGCTCTCGCGCTCGCGCGATCGTGATGTATGTGGTGTATCTTTATCATTTTTAAGTTTAAAAAGCGAAGTCGAGTTACATCACTTTATACCTCATTGCACAAGTCTATTGCGCAAGTGATTTATACTTTTACGATATCGTAGCGTTCCAAAATTCAATAAAAAAAAATATTTTAATTTATAGCGTTTTCAGCCGTAGCGGATTTGAATCGACCTGGATTGGATTAATGATGTTACTTGTTCTACTATGGCTACAGTCCACTTGCTACAAATGTTTCGAAGCATTTTTTGATTTGTCAATTAGTAAAATTCTTTCTTTAATTGGTCAATCTAAAGTTTTGAAGCATTCGTAGAGTCAAGTGGATCGCATAGATATCAGAGAAGCAACAAGTGAGGAAATGATCTGATTGGCTGACTAAATTACGTTTAGCGCCATTTTTTACACGGTCATGATGTAAAAATACAAAGTGTAATGTTCTTGCGAATGCGCAGGAGTATGCATTTAGACCTTGAATTTAATTGGTTGTCCTAGTATGTTACTATTATTATATGCAGGAAAATGCATTTGGACTCAAAATTGTTGTTTCCAGTATGCTATTGCCATTACGCTCAACGTTTTTACCTTGACTTATTACATCATGGTTACAGTATAACCATACCCATAGAAAAAAATATTGTTCGTTTTGTCTCTCGAGAGCTGCTTAGGGTCACTCTGAATGAATCCAGCATAGAGATCCTTTAATCTGGCCATAAGGATTTCGTCAAATTTCTTCAAGCGAGAAAGGAGTCTCACTTTTCCGGAAGAGTATTATGTAATTCTACAAAAATTAAGTAAATTTGCTTTTATTGTGTAAATATATCTTCTTTTATATTAAAAATTATGTAAATAGCAATTACTTTGAATATTTTCTGTAATTATTCAAATTTTAATAATATTGCGTAATATAAAAATTTTTTCGCGTATTGCTGTTAAATGTAATGGGTCATCTTAAAAGTATCCGCGGTTTTTTGTCACTAGATGTGTGTTGATGGTCATATATCTAGTGACAAAGTACCAAAGATACTTTTTAGATGACCCAATATAATAATATAGTGCGAAATGTATTGTCATATCGTTTGTGTAACTACACATACACATTGTAATTGTATTACGGGCTGCCGCAGACAAAATTTTTGTAATAGTAATCTAAGACGTGAATTTAAGCCGTGAACTTAAGCCGATGAGCCAATCAGAATATTGCTATAGATCTACGTACTCTAACGGAAATAGAAATAGCAATAAAACTTATCCATAAGGCGAGTTTTAATCAGTTAAAATTCATTTTATTGCAAGGTTAAGTTTACTTTTATTTCCATTTCCGTTAGATTACGTAATCTAAAACAGTAAAGTCCTAGTTGGCTCATTGGCTTAAGTTTACACCTTACGCATACTGTTACAGAATTTTGTGTGAGACAGCCCTGAGGGGAGCCATTCCATGTACAGGGAATCGAACGACGGAACGGATTTCTTACTAGAAAATTTAAGATCAATCCGTAAGAAATTTTTCTCGTTTTACTCCTCCTATGTAACTGGAACGGAATAAAAATGGAACGGAATGTAACCTCGAGTTGCAAGTTAATTTGTTTGATTTAATTGATATTTTGTAATTTCAATGCGACTAAAACAGTAATATACATAATTTGTGCAATTATCTTACCTATAACATTACTTTTAATACTCAAAAATACTGAATTATAAGAGTGAGATATACTTTGTTACCAAAATTCCATTTCCTTAAGGTGCCATTACATGCAAGCGTCGAGCATTTGCACAGAAGATTATTGCGCAGAGGTTTGAATCTCCGGATTCCTGCACAATAATCTTCTGCACAGCTTCTTGACGTAAAATCATAAATTATAAGAGGTTATGTTCTGATATACATTACTATACTACATATAATGCTAAAAATTTATATTTATTTACATTAGGGTACGGTCCACGCGATGCTGCAAACGCTTTGAAGCGTTTTTTAATTGGTCAGTAAAATTTTGTAAAATTTTTTCTTCTAATTGGTCCATCAAATGTTTCAAAGCATTTGTAACGGGACTTTGACCACAGCTATTATATAATGTAAACTAAGATTCCTATAAACTAAGATATACTATTAGTGTATCTCGTAAATTAAATTCAATTTTAGTAAAATTATTAAACATATTACTGCGCATACTCTGACGCTTGACGCTGCTATGTAAAGGCACCTTTAAGGAAACGAACTCATGCTGACCGGAATCACATGCGTGTATATATTGAGTCATCTAAAAAGTATCCGCGGTTTTTTGTCAACATCATCTAGTGACAAAAAACCACGGATACTTTTTAGATGACTCAATACATTCGTCAAAATTCATGAAATACAACCTGCAAAACTCTAATCATCTGGTAGTTGTGAAGAATGATATGATAACAACAACACGGGTTCTTATTAGTCGCAAATTTCTTTAACCGCGAAAAAGTTATACACAAGTGAGTACTCGGCGCCCCGCCAGAAAAGAATGTTTTCAAGTTTTGCAGTTGACAGTACTAAAACTTTCTTTCTCTCTCTCTCTCTCTTTTAATCGACCGATTAGCATAATCGGAGTTGAGTGAGACCGGCCCTTTGTCTTCTTCGCGCAAATTCTCACAATTCCAGCAATTCCATACATTGCATGCGCATAAAAATCGGCGCAACAACGTAAAACAAGTCAAACTAATCAAAAGTGTTCCGTTAATTCCGCAATGCACATACGTTCCGCACCATGGGATCGTGCCATAAGACTATAAAAAATTGTAAATTGATTGGCTACGAGGCAAGCGATAAGTCACGTGACTGTCTACCGATTGGTTGGTCATAATAATGCGTTAATTACAATCTTTCGACGGGATGAAAATTTGCGTCTATGATACTCATAGTCAGATCTTATATTCAAGATCTTCTTAAGTAGTCTTAAGAAGTCATAAAGCAATCAGAGGGCCGTATTAGATCTTAAAACAGTCTTGAAATAAGAACGAATGCAAGTATTCTAAATAGTATTAGGTGCGCAACTAAGTTCTCGCTGTTATTTTAATGAAAATGCATCAAAATAACAGCGAGAACTTAGTTGCGCACCTAATATTTTGAAAGTATTATGAAATAAAAACAGTCAAGTATTCCCCTCTCATTTGACAGTAAGAAGCCGATCGCAAGTTTATTGCGACAGCCAAATCTAAAGCTGATTCTACATTAGTTGCAAGCCGATCGCAAGTTTATTGCGAGAGCCAATATGAAGCGTTAATTTCAAAATGCAAGCTTCAGATTGGCTATCACACAAACTTGCGATCGGCTTGAAACTTATGTAAAACCGGCTTTATACGCAAATACCTTTGATGCGTTTGGCGAGTCGCTATTAGCGCTACTTCTGCCATTCTATCTTCGTTGTTTATTAGACATAAAACAAGAACAGAATGACAAATAGCGCTAATAGCGCTTCCCG